CAATTTATTAGTATTTGACATCCACTTTAATGATGTTGAAAGGAGTCAGCTGTCACATTTCTCTACTTTCTGCTTGTTCCCTCCGTTCCTCCTGCTCCTATCCTCTTCTCTATCCTCGATGAGCAATAGGAAGGGAGGGGAGGACAGAGCAGTAGCAAAAGTTTCTGGATTCAGCCATTTTGGGGCTTAATCTGGTCGGCCTGTCATAGCATTTGTTTAGCCCCAAAACAAACGTTGAAAATTGAGGTGTGTTTAGTACGTCAGAACTCTTAGCTGATGCGCGTGCAAGATTCAAGTCTCTAGCATGGAGCTCTTAAAAGGCCAGGATGCCCTGTGTGACTGACCATGTGCCTGTGCAGGTGATTTATGACTATATGTGTGCAGTAGCCCCTACAATATAAATATAAATATGATTAAAATATGCTATACAAATAACCTGTGACATTACTGTTCATTACTATAACAATTATCAAATGTATTTTACTGCTGCTTCGCGAATACATATTTTGAGTGATACCATTACACTAGTTTTCACTGATTGGTCAAAACAGTTGCATGTGATATAACTATTGTGAAGGTGATACAACTCTTTACAAGTTTCATGCTTTATTGGAGCTGTGTTGGCCGCAGCCACGCCATACAAAATAGTCGGCATACAGAATAGTAGCCGTACAAAATAGTCAGAGTTTCCCCCATACAGGCAGAACTGTTTTATCTCTGACACATGCAATCTCTGCTACTATGAAGTAAGGGGACACAACTGTTTCGAAGTTCTACGCTTCATTGGAGCTATGTTTACCACAGCCACATCATTGAAACAAGCCAGGTTTCAGGCTAATTGCTAACTCCAGCACTGCTGGGGCCTAAGCCCTTCCCCAAAAGAGGGAAAAGCCTGCAGCACGTCCACTCCTTAAGCACACACACCCTAAAAATGGTGGCTCTTAATACCGCTGTTTACAAGAAGAGTCCCCAGCAGAACACATGCCAAACACATTCCCTGAACAGCTAGCAGCTAATGCTAGCACCAAATAAGCTTGTCAGTGTTAGCCTAGCGAGCACATTGTACTGCCACAGTGAGTTAAACTGGATTTCTATGGCTCAGCTTGGTTTGTGGTGTGAAGCTGGACCGTTTGAACGGAGCACGACAGTCAGGCAGTGTGAGCCATTAAGGTCAACAGAGGCTGCTTATTCAGCCTCCATTTACTGGAGAGTGAGTCAGTCTCTCTCTCTCACACTCTCAGCAAGCCGCCCTTTCTGCTTTTTTAGGTGGTTTTGGAGCACGTTTGCACGTCGTAGTGGAAAAGTTTGTCCTCTGGTAACGGAGCCCCCTTCTTTCTGTATATTTCCCTTGTGAGCGCATGTGTGGCTTGAGAAGGTGTAATATGACGGTGCTGGTTTTCCCCTCTTTATAATCTCACTAGCTGTAAGCAGATAGGATATTTCTGAGTTCTGATGCCTAGTGGGGTGGCTTTATAGTCAAGTTCCATTTCAGCAAGGAACAAATCAGACTGTCTAATGGTGGTGTTTTTTTCCTTGGGTTTAACAAATAAATGACTCTATAAATGATGAGCAGTCATTTATAAAGTCATCACTATCACACTGAACAGCGCTGCAGCAGGTCTGTAAACACGAGATGTCACATTAAGAGCATTTGAGTGTGGGTAGCTACAAGTACCATTTTGAGAGGTGTTGAAATGACTAAAGGAAACTCCTGCTGATTTACTGTCACATCCTGGCTGTTTTCTGAGAATTTTCCACATTGCATTCAATCGGCCCTATTTGACTAGCCGCTTAGCTTTGGTTAATTAGCTAGTGCCCTTAATGTCATTGTCTATCATGATGTTTTATCGCTGAAAACCTCATATCTTCAAAATGAGAACTTTACAGGAGAAGGAAAAAAAACTACTTTACTTTTAATGTAAGTCAAGGGAACCAGACTTCTTTGGATCGTTTCTTTTAGTCATCATAAAATTTAGACACAATGTAAAGAGTAACAGGTGTATATATATATATATGCCCTTAAATTGTCTTACTGAAATAAATAAATGTTTTATTGGTGCTTTTGTCAGTTGTCTTATTTTGAGAGTAATTATGAATGTTATGATAATATAATGAATATAATATGTAATCATTAATTCATGGTTGAAATTAGGTTGAATTCAAGTTACTGAAATAGATGTTGAGGGATGTATTTTTCTAGATGTCTTTTCACCTTTCACTTTTCAACCAAATATCACTGTTGTTGAGACGTCTGGCAAAGTTGTCTCAACAGCGAGGTTTTGCTGGTGTGCTGTCTACGATGAAGCCCCCACTAATTCATGCAGACTTATGGGGAACCAGTACAACAGCAGTCATTGGCTGGTGAGCAAGTGTACAGTATTCGAAAAACCTCAAAGTTGATGTTGACTATTGATGGATTATGCCTATCACAACGTCCCTCGTACTCCTACATCCAATCAGAGCTGCTACTCAGAGCCAGACAAAACATTTGAATATATAGACACAAAGAAAACACAGGATTTAAAGTATAAGCTAGTTGAATTGTGCAATGTTTGTCCTCTCTGGGAGTACATGCAGTGATGTCACTTTTAAGGGGAATTCCACTGATTTTTCAAAATTTTTGCATAATACCATCATTACAATATAAACAAAGTCATTCTGGATTGATATGAAATGGTCTGTGGGAGAGAAAGTTACAGATTTCTTTACAGTAGTTTTATTTTTTACTATAGCCATGTTATTTAAACCACCAGTAAACCTACACATGTCTTCAGAGCTTTAACATGTAATGTTTATTACGTTAAAATAGCAGAAAATCTGAAAAATATGTTTGCTTTAGGGACTATTTTGCCTTACAGTGCTCTGCATGTACCCATCCACAATGAATAAATTAAATAAATGGATTAACAAGACGTTTTAGGGCAAAACTTTAATACAAAAATGTCATAAAACAATGTCTCAGGCATCAGCGATCAGCAGCATCAGCGAAGTTATTATATTTCATGTAATAACTTTCAGTGAGGGAGTTTTTAGAGGCATTAAACTCTTCAGACGTCTGGTTCCTGTCACCACCACTGTGAACAGTTCTGACTCTGCAAATTTCTTTGTTTGAAAAACCTGTGGAGTTCCCCTTTAATCTCTGCAGAGGTCTCCCTAGGTAGCATACGCTTGTGTATCGTGACAAATTCGTCACAAAATCGGTTTCTTGGTCACAGAGGAGAGGAGGAGGAATGATAAAATAAAAACAGTAACTTTAAGCGTTCTTGGAAGCAGCATGCGACAGCCACAAGCTCTCCTACTTGGTCACTTCCAAACAAAACAACAGGAAATCACTTTGTATACATTACAGTATAAATATACACGTATAAATATAAATATGTCTATAGGTGCAATATAATATAGTTTATTACACTACAGCAGTTGCCATGGTCAAAATAAAACTGGAACTGTAACCCCTTTTTGTTTCGTCGATAATAATATTCGGTATTTTAATAAAATATTGACTGCAGAACTGGAAATGTCCCTAGTTTTCATTTCAGAAATCTGGTCACCTTTAAGAAGTACCCTGTTGTTGATTTCACCTAAAACCTTTTTGTTACACTTTCAGGACTGCTTACAAATCCCCTTACTCCCTTAATTTGTCTCCACTTCTGAAATGGAGAAAGTTTTAAAAGCTAAAATTCTTATTTCATATTTTGTATTAGCGCAGTATATAACCTACACAATTCATGGTAAGGTGTAGATCATTAGCACCAAAAACAAAACAATGATATAAAAAACACAAGCAGACCCTGAACATGTTTCAAAACCTGATAAACCTTAATGAAATGAAAGACATTATTTTTATTTTGAATGTAGTATGCAAAAACTCTCTCCCTCCCTCCCTCCCTCCCTCCCTCTCTCCCTCCCTCTCTCTCTCTCTCTCTCTCCCTCTCTCCCTCCTTCTCTCTCCCTCTCTCTCTCCCCCCCTCCCTCTCTCTCTCCCTCCCTCTCTCTCTCTCTCTCTTTCTCTCTCTCTCTCTCTCTCTCTCTCTCTCTCTCTCTCTCTCTCTCTCTCCCTCCCTCCCTCTCTCTCTCTCCCTCCCCTCTCTCTCTCTCTCTCTCTCTCTCTCTCTCTCTCTCTCTCTCTCCCCCCCCTCAATCTCTCTGGGTCAAATATTTAAATATTTGATGGCTGTAGATCTGAAGAGGGAATATATCTCCATTCAGAGGTACATTTACATGGTTACACAGTTATGTACACTTTTTAAAAATATGTTTTTCAGTGGTTCTTTAGTAAAGGCAATCATTTTATCCATGAAGTCTAATATAGAACAATTTCATGCTTAAAGTGGCTCTTTGCATGGTGAAATGGTTCTTTAGATTGATGGAAAATATGTTGTATGTGGTTCTATATACGGCTACTTCTATATAGAACCACCCTTTACTGAAGAACCCTTAAAAAACATATTTTAAGAGTGTACATAACTGTATAACCATATAAATTTACTTCTGAAGAACCACCTTTTTAAGAGTGTCTCTATTGACCGCATGGAATTACTTATGTGAACAAAACATAAATACATGATTATATGATTATGAGTGAAATTGTGGCATTTACATGTAATTAAAAAAGATCACATGTTCATCTAAGATATAACTCTACAATATTTCTTCACTCTGGACAAACCAAAACAAGTGACATTCCTTATCAAACTAAATTAAGTGGTTGCACATGAATGGCCTAATCTATTTCTTGGTTTAAAATTGTTAAAATAAACTGAGTGGGGCGGAGTAGGGGGGGTTAGTGAAAGTTAAATCTTACTTGCTTAATTTTTTAGTTTTATTGTTAAAACACTTTCAAAGTTCAAATTCAGTTTCTGATATCAGGAATCTGTTGACATCCTGTGGTGAACGGCGTCCTCTAATGCCAGCCTGTGTGAACTGTGTTATTGTGCGCTGCACTCCGCGGCACTAGATGGCGATGTGAGGCTGTATTAGTGCCATAGAAAAAGAGGACACGTCTGCAAAAGAGTGAACTCAACTGCGCATGCGTCGCTCAGCCTTCACTCACACAGCGGGCGAGGACCAGTGAGAAGGTAACTGTGCCGTCTGACTAAATCCTTTATTTCATGAACAGAGATGTGTATCAGTGCCTGTTTTATTGTTACATTGCAATCTGTATTTCTTGCAGTTATGGTCTTGTCAGTGATGTGTGCTGTTTTATTGTAGTACCGCGAATAAACAAACATTTTTTCAGGTTAGCTCGATTCATTCATGCAGAGCCAGTGTGAAGTACACGTAAGCGCTTCAGTGATGTTGGTGTTGAACGGCTGGACACCCGGTGATCTAAATACGAGGCCTGTAGCGTTACTGATAGTTAATACTGCTAATGCAGATTTAGTTTATGAAGTTCCACACCTATGCACTGTATATGTAATAAACACGTTTCAGGAAAAATTGTGTCCCTGTCGCTGACACTGTCACCACTAGCCGTGGTTTCATCAGAGAGCTGCTGTTTTACATTAGTTACACTTCTCCACAGGGAAAGGAACATAACCTAGAATCAGACCTTAAGTACATTAAGCTTTCCAGATATTTTTAAAATGACTTTATTACGGTTGTTCGTTCACTTGAGTTTGTATGTTCTGTAAGTTATCTCGCCATGCTAACTGTGTTAGCTAGCTAGCTACCTTCCTTGCTTAACCTAGTTAGCTTAGCTATATCCAGCTAAGAAATGAACGGGGTCGTACGGGTAAGCAGTGTCTCTTTTTGACTTGGCTACATCTTTATATTGTGAATTTTTAAAAAGTAAATAGTTTTCCTTATTTTTAAGTTTATGTTTGGCATGCAGGAATTCAGTAGCATTTAGCCTAGCAGAGTGCTGAAAGCAAACGTTAGTCAGATGAGTGTAGTGCCACATATGTATTATGTATTGCTCTGGTACAACATTTATGTTCTGTTTTAAACAGGGCATTCCATCAATTTGTCATTTTTTAGTATAATTCAATGGTTCAGATTTAAACAAAGCCACCACAAGGGGGTTGAGGTGAAATGGTTCATGTATGGAGACTTACTGGCTCAGATTTCTTTTCAGTAGAGGTGATGGGAACCAGGGATGATGATGTCCATACAAATATAGTCATTTTATTTGATATCCAGAATGACAGCGTTAACCTACGCGCAACTTCTCAGTTTTTATATATTTTTGAAAATGGTGGTATATCTGAAAGTTTTTTGGTGGGCTGTCTTGCTTAACAGAATCCTTCATGATGTTCTCTGCCATTAAAAATACATTTTAGGCTAAACTGTCATGTAACAGTGTCTCAGGCATCATGCAGTATATTCATAACCATTTTGTGTAATGTTTTTCTGAGGGGTAGCTTTTGGAGATTGACATTTGCTTTCGAACACCACCTTTGTAAATGTTGATACTAAGTTTCTCTAAAATTAAATATTTCATACCAAACCACTCTGAATGACTTAATTAATTATTAACAATTTAATTATGCTGAAATTAGTGGCTTTCCTTTTCAAATATACTCTTTAGTGAACTGTGTAACATACTGATTCTGAAAGTTGTTCATCAGTTCCCACTTTGCCTTGTGTGGCTGGGTTTAGACTTTTCCATATCATTAAAAGTGGATTATTTTCATTTCTCTGTGCGATATAGTTTGTTAAAACTAAAACTAAATTGTGCCAATAATATCAATTCCACAATAAATTTCTTTTAATTAGGGTTTCATTAAGGGATTTCGTACAAATTTATGCTAATACACTTTTTCTTCTCTTGCAGATGAGGACTCTGTGCTTATTTGCGCTGGTTGCAGTGCTTGGTCTGGTGGCAGGAGAGGAAGGGGCCCGACTGCTAGCTTCCAAATCCCTGCTGAACCGTTATGCTGTAGAGGGCAGAGATCTCACCCTGCAGTACAACATCTACAACGTGGGCACCAGGTACTGCTTACTATACTTCTTGGCTGAGCTGATACATGCTGTCTGAGTGTGGATTTGGTAGCAGCCACATTATGGCCACATAAGGAGTGCCTGTGTTGCCTGCTAGGGTGGCCAGCTCTGTAATTATAGCCATCTAATTGTACGTATGGGAACCATATGTAACACACTCCTGCCTTTTTGCCCCTCCATCCTTAGTGCTGCACTGGAAGTGGAACTCTCTGATGACTCCTTCCCTCCAGAGGATTTTGGCATTGTCTCTGGAATGCTGAATGTAAAATGGGACCGCATTGCCCCGTATCCTTCTTATCGAGACCCTGCAAATGGAGAAAAGATTGTTCACTGCAACACACTAATTCACTAACTTGACTCCTGTGCTGCTTGATCTCTAAGCGGCTCAAATATATTAGTAGATTCAAGTGGAGAAATTCTAATTAATACATGTAGTTCCTAATGTTTTATTTTTTTGTACTTCTGACTGTGTAATGCATTGAAGTTTTTAATTTTTCATTTAAAACATGCATTTTTTTTAAAGCACATCAGCTTTTTGATTGAAAATCAATACCACAGTTGTTCTCTGACTTGATTTTAAAGTCAGCTGATGAGATAATTGAATTTTGCTGTTTTTGGAATGTTATCTCAAACTTATCACTGGCCTTTGAAGGTGGTTAGTACCTTCTCTGTGGGATTGGATCTGTATTTAGTCCATCAGTTATTGGTCATGTTCCCTAACTCTTCTCCCATTAGTGCCAGTAATGTCTCTCATACTGTGGTGCTACGTCCTCTGAAGGCCGGCTACTTCAACTTCACTTCAGCCACTGTCAGCTACTTGGCCCAAGAGGGAGGGCAGGTTGTGGTGAGTACCATCTCCAAAAAGCAAATGTAGATATTTGTGCATTTTAAATTAAGCATGTGGTAATATTGGTTATTTTGAAGCAAAGATTGCTGTTAATTATCATTGCATTATCAAAGTGTTTTGCATCATCTAAGAAAGTGTGTCTAATAGTAGTTGTTAAGTTACAGTATTGAGTTGTGTAAACATTCAGTGGTTTAGATGAATGTTCCACTTTCTTGTTTTTCCAGGTTGGCTACACCAGCGCTCCTGGTCAGGGAGGTATTCTGGCTCAGAGGGAGTTTGACAGACGCTTCTCACCCCATTATGTGAGTGACTTTCAAATCTCTTTCGTGTCTCAAGATTATGTTCGTTAGAGGTCACCTGTCTTTCATTCCAACCACATAAGATAATTAAGCAACTGTTTCAAGGCTGAGACCAACTAATTAACAAGTGGGATCAGATGTGCTGCTGCTTAATTGGAATGAGGACTACAACCTCATTGGCTATTGCAGATAAGATTGGTGACCCCTGGTCCACATGGTCAGGACCTCTGCAGCTGAGCTGATGGAATTAAATAAAAATGGACACCCAACCCTGATGATCTTTTTCATGCTAGCTTTACAGTTATTGGATTATGGTGCTTGACTTATTGCAATAAATTAATTGTGAATTCAGAATAAGAAAGATCACTCAGATTTTTGTCTGTCTCCGTAGCTGGACTGGGCTGCATTTGGTGTGATGACCCTGCCGTCCATCGGTATCCCTCTGCTTCTCTGGTACTCCAGCAAGAGGAAATATGATTCACCCAAGAGCAAGAAGAACTAATAGTGAAATGGGGTAATTACATGTGGGTTTGAGCTATAAAAAAGGTTATGGGCTGAGGAACTTGAAATGGTGATTTTTGGAAGAGAGATTTTCAATAATATTACCCATATTGGGGGTAAAGCAATCAGTCATGCAAGTTTTGGGCATGTCTGGTTTTTTTGTTTTGTTTTTTGTTTTTGAGTGTGGAAATGGTGGACTGGTGTATTGTGTGACAGGAGTATTGACAGTAGCATTTGCAACCTTCAGGACTGACCACAGCGGCCATTTGAGACTGCCGTCAACAGTTTGCCTATGTTCCTTTTTTTTTTTGCTGTTGTAATTAATTGTTCAAAGGCAGATTGTATCTGGAGAACATTGCTTCCTCTTCATTTGCTGGTTTGAGATTACCAGTGAAAATAAACAAGTGGGTTTTACACAAATACTCTGGCTCTTTTTGTCTTTTCAGATGTGATCACAGGCATGCTCCTGTTTATTGATGTATTAAAGGGGAATGGCATCCAAGTAATGCCTTTACTTCACTCTAGAGGAGAGCAGTCATTTAGTGGTTGGTGCAGACAGCAGAGTTTGGTCTCTGGAGCTTTAGGAGTTGAGTTCCACAGTCTTATGACCATTCAGTGATGACCCCGGTCTGTCTATTTAAAGATGTTAAGATACAATTGATAATGGCTCTGATACAGTTACTATTGTTACCTGCAGCTCCCTGGTAACTTCTCTTTCAGTTGAGGCTTTTGTGCTGCTCAGCCTGAACTAGTGGAACAATGCAAAGAAAAAGACTAATAAATGCATGTTCATTAGATTCATTGTATACAGGCAAAGATTTGGAATTCATGTAACATGCAATTTTTTTATACTTTTTTTTTTAATGAAGGGTCAAGTCCAGATAAAAATAGAATAGTAAATACAAGCCATTCTATTTATATACTGGGGTGTCTGCTGCAGCTTTTCATTTCAACAAAACAGGAGCGCAGATTGAACACTTGTTGTGTACAGTTCTTTTTCAAAGACAGTGCTAAATAAGCAGGTGGTAATCGGAGCCTTATAATATAACTTAAAAGAAGGCCTAATCATTTTTAGAAATGTGCATGGATTTTATTGCATAGAATCATAATGCTTGATGGATTTCATCTCTTTAAGTACTGAAGTACTGTTAATTTAGTTGAGTTTAGTTGAAAATGCTGAGCAGAGTATTTTACTAACAAATTTTTTCTACTGTAGTATCTAGGTAGATTTATCCAGGTGAGCTCTCCCAATTTGGTAGGCCTTCAGAAGCCGAACAGAAGGCCTTACACACTGAGGCCAGAGTATGATGATTGCACAAACACAAACAAACACAAGCATTGAACCGTCCCTGTGTTTGACTGTTTAAGGCTCTAGAATTTTCTCTCCTCATTCAGTTAATTTTGTTTTATTTTACATTTATGTCAGTTTTTCGGAGCATTTTGAGGACAACTGCAGACATGAAAATGTTTGTGTTTTTCCAGTCGGTGTACTCTGGCCTTAAAATTAACTACAAATACAACTATCAAATGACAGGACTGGAATTAACTAATCACATGAGAGGGAAAACTTTGTGAAAGGAAGAACTGGCTGTGAAATAGGAGGTGCAGACTAACCAGATTTTAGTCAGTTGTTAGAAATGAAAAACAGTGGTAGTGGTTATATGGTATGGCTCTTTACTAAGGGTCACTGGACAACTGCTACATATAAGGCAAATATATGTTCATGTCTGTTACAAGCTTCAAATAAAACATACAGAATGCCTTTTGCAAGCTTCAAAGTTTCTGTGTTGCATTAAGAACAGCCAAAAATGTTCATGTGTTTGACTGTTCGCTTAACACTAATATAGTACTAGAAATCCCATAGTACTATCAAAATAAGCATTATCATAGAGGTGTTTTTTTTTCTCAATTTTGAAAAATGTTGACATTTGTTGCCTGAACTATAGGTTCACCACTGTAAATAAGCTCACTAAAAAAACCTGAGAAAACCAATTAGGTTTGCAGTTACACTCAAAAATAAAGGTCTCTAACTGGTTCATTTGGAAATGGACTAGAACGATGACTGGGGTGGCCATTAAGCGCTGGGTTAAGAGCAGTCCTAGGTGGGTTGCACTTAGGGGTTATGGGATTTGATCTTGGCTTAACGTTTGGGGTTAGGAGGTGGCAGAGGAGGTCTCGAGTTGGCGGGTCTCTCTGGTATCTGCTCATATATGGAGAAGCCAGAGTTTTCAGGCTGCAGATGATCTGAGTGGTTAGGGCTGAAGAGTGGGTGTGGAGTCATGCCTGGTGAACCACCAAAACTCTGAGAAAGAAATAGAAAATGTTTAATGTAGTCATTCTTGAGAGTTTTTCTAGACACAGATGAAATCTAATCTTGGTCTAAATGACACTGTGAGTTTAGTTTTCCTCTGTAGTTCTTTAGGATTAGGTGTCAGGTGAATCCAGTAATTTGGACATAGACCGATCAGGCATAACATTATGACCACCTCCTTGTTTCTATACTTATTGTCCATTTTATCAGCTCCACTTACTATATAGGCACTTTGTAGTTCTACAGTTACAGACTGTAGTCCATCTGTTTCTCTGCATACTTTATTAGCCCCCTTTTACCCTGTTCTTCAGTGGCCAGGACACCATGGACCCTCACAGAGCAGGTACTATTTGGGCGGTGGATCATTCTCAGCCCTGCAGTAACACTGACGTGGTGGTGGTGTGTTAGTGTGTGTTGCGCTGGTCTGAGTGGATCAGACACAGCAGTGCTGCTGGAGTTTTTAAACACCTCAGTGTTACTCTTGGACTGAGAATAGTCCATTAACCAAAAATATCCAGCCAACAGCATCCTGTGGGCAGCATCCTGTGACCACTGATGAAGGACTAGAGGATGACCAACACAAACTGTGCAGCAACAGATGAGCTATCGCCTTTGACTTTACATCTACAAGGTGGACTGACAAGGTAGGAGTGTCTAATAGAGTGGACAGGGAGTGGACTCCAGCAGTGGAGCTGATAAAATGGACAATGAGTGTAGAAACAAGGATGGTCATAATGTTATGCCTGATCGGTGTATAACTTTAGCACCATAACACTGTATGACTGTATGGAGTCATACCTGTACGCTGCTTTCAGTTCGAAAGGTTGCATGTTTAGGGGGTGGTCTTGAGGGCAAGCTTGGGTTGGGCCTTGAAGATGAAGCAGTGAAGTTAACCATGGAGGCTGCCCTGGTTGGTGGAAGAGCTGGCGTACCGTCATCTCTGGTCCCTTTAATATTGACCTCTGAGTAAAGGTGATTATGAGGGAGATCTCCTAGACAGATCCCACACATGAGTAGACAGAAAGCAGCGGTAAGTTCAAAGCAGCTACCAAAAACACAGAATAGTAAGAGTAAAGAGATTGCACCATATAACTTTCATGTTTGGGCTGCTGATATTGCTTATATGCTGATTAAGCTTATAGCAAACATTTTGGCTTTCTAATCTTGATTAACTTGCTTGCCTAAAAATGTAACACTTTTAAAAATAAAGGTGCCTATGTGGTTCTTGACTTGGATGTACAGTTCTAGAAACCTTTAATGGGTATAGAACCTTTTTATTATGTGAGGTTTCTTTAAAAAGTTTTCTTTAAAAAGGTTAATCTCATTTTCGAAAGAGGTTATTTAAAGATCCATCCTCCGAAACCTTCTTTAGGGAATAGGATCTCCTATCACAAACAACCTTTTTGGTAAGTATTTCTAAAGGGGATTTCTGCAGAGTCTCTAAAAGTTTTCCATATTAAATGGCAAAGATGTAACTCAAAAGATACATGTTTATTGGTAGCTTTATTGGTAGTTTTGGACAGTACATAAAGTGGATACATTTGCGCTGTAGATATTGCAATGTGTGGTTCCTATCACACCACTGTAAAGAAAATCTGTAGGTTTCTCTAGAACTGTGCCTTTCACATCAAAGCACTCTGAATCACGTTGTTCACATGTTGACAATTGAACCACGTAGAGATTTTAAGAAATCAAAAAAAATAGAATTCTTTTTGAAAACCTTCCCCATCTTACCTGCATCACTATTTAATTCTCTGCGCCTCCCCATGGCGTAAAAATCTATCTCCTCGTCGCGTCTGCGTGTGTGCAGGGTCTCCTCATAAGTGTGCAGGGGCTCTAGTTCCCAGTACTTCTGTTCTGCTATGGCTGCAGCACTGGGCGAAGAATGGGAACCAGTGGATGCTGCTGCCCCCAGTAAGCTGGGGTCAGGGTCGGTATCGCTGAAGGAAGGGTTTTGTACGGCCCGGGGCGGTTTGTTGACCCGAGCATAGGGGGCATCTATAGGATGGGCCAGGTCTCCTGCACTGCTTACAACAAGCTCTTGTATGCCATTCTGCAGATAGTGAGAAGTCAGGTCAACTTGAAACTTTGTCAACATTCTGCATATCTTTTTTATCAGTTCAGTTTAGTTTCAGTTACACCAAAATAGTTAAACTTATTTAAGGAAATGTGGTTGCTTCCTCCTTATGGGCTTCCTCCTCTTAGACTACTAAACATGAAGGGCTCAGGCAGCATCAGGATTCAAACTTGACAAATAGGCTGTTGTGCTACTCAGGAGCTGCAAAATTGCTTACATTTCTGTGTCCAAGAAAAAATGTAAAGATGAATTAACCTACACTTTTCTTACATTTTTTCATCCTTATGTGATTGTATTAGCCAAAAACAGTCAGAATTCATTACAACCATTTCCAATGTCTCTTTATTACTTTATCATCATTTTGTTACTGTGCCTTTAAAACTAATATATATAAATAAGTTCTGTTCTGATTGGCTGCCCTGTACTGTGCCTCATTCAAAAAGCAGTCCAGGCTTAAACACTATAAGGTTTATAGTGTTTAATAAGGTCAGTGTGAAAAGGGCCAAGCTAAACTTCTGTAGGCTGAATAGACAGAAAAAAAGTGTACTGGTCAACAGTTTGGAACAAAGACCAAAAGCCATAAAGACATGAGATATGCATTTTCTCAACACAATGGACAGTGATACGTTTATTAACATAGAAGGGGTTTATTAAATATCTATAGCAATATTGTGCAACTGATTCTTCATTTGCTTTGCTCCTAGTGAGTCTCCTGCAGATTTAATTACAACTATTATTATATCAACCCAATTTGCCAGCTTGATGTACTGAAAAAAGTGTGCTAAATTAAAACTTGTAAAGAATTAAAAACTGTTAGAATGAAAAGTTAAAGTAGATGGAAATATATTTGTGTTGTGGTTGTTTATGAATTCACTTCTTGAAAAATATTTTTTAAATTTAAAAATATCACTGATCTCTATGCTTTGGGCCTGTGTTGCAGCACAGGTGACATGCTGATAACTGCATGTATATGACCTCTTATAATATTATAAACTTTTTTTCACTGTCAGAACAAAATCTTGTATCTCCAAAATAGTACATTTGCAAGAGAAGGCAAAAACATTTTTAACTTTTAATGTAAGTTAATGTTACAAGACTTTTTTTCTAAGTAATTTTGGTTTATTTCTATTGGACGTTCAACTTTAAATTTTGCTACGATATGAAGGGTACCTGGAGCTTTCCAGTTACGGTAAGAAGTAAAAATTAGCAAAAAATGGAAATGAAAGATTTTGCGTGACAGCGAAATGAAACAGTCACATGCAAAAATTTGTACACCCCTGGTCAATTTACATATTTTGTTGATTTTCTAGGTGAAAGTAGGTTACGCATCTTCTACAGAGATCACACTTCTGCACATTTTAATGAACAGTTACTGTTTATTTGCTGAATTTACAAGAAAAACAAAATGTGCGAAAGTTATGGCACATTTTATATTTTACATTTTATTGTTTTGCATTAAGATTTTCCATATTTAAGTGTTAACTTATTTTCATTTATATCAAAACAATAAAATATATAGCTCAACTAGGGGTGTTCAAACTTTTACATACAACTGAATACGATAATTTGGTCGTGGATATGAAGTGTAGCCTATTTTTAGCTACATTATCTGTATTTGTTTACCTCTGGGCCAGAGTGCACTGTATCCGGTACATTCTTGCTCTCTGGGAGAGACTGAGTCTTCTTCAGGGTCTTCCTCACCACAGCATACTGTGCCGAATCAGAGGCAGCCACGGCGACTTGCCTTGTAGAGTCTGTAGCAGAGTACTCTGGGATGGACTGTGCAGTGTCTTCTGTTGTCTGTCCTCTTTCATCCTCTCTTTCTTCTTCATGTCTCACTCTCAGCTTTGCTATCTCATCGCTGCTGCTGCTGGGCTGGAAGAGGGAAGATCATAAAGCCAAGTGAGTTTTTTTACAAATACCTGAGTATATGATATATGATTTTACAAAATGACGTCTGCTTCTTGTACAAAGATGAATATCACTTAAAATGTTGATGTTCAGTTGTTTAAACTGTCCAGGTTTATGAAGTTCTGCTATCTATTACCCTTAAAACATACGAATACAGAACTATAAATGCAAAGTTTCATTCCAAAATTCTGTAAATCCATTTGTAGCAATAATAATAATACATTTTATTTATAGAGTGTTTTCATATATCCTTACAAAACAAGTGATAAAAGAACAGCTTTGAAAAGAATAAGAGCTGACATATTATTATTTTACTAATAAAGGTGATATTAATCATAAAGCATCAAGTCCCATGCCCAAATCATGATATCAATAAATCATAAATAAAAAGGAAATTAATGGAAGAGGTATTTATGCATTTTGGAATGAAATTTGATATTTTATTTATTGGACTTTATTGGATTTTATTATTTACTCATTCTTATTTTCATTTATTTTGATTTTACTTTGCTGGTTATACTGATTTAAAGTTTACTCAAATCACTCTAATCAAATGTCATTTTTGATTTTGTTTCACTAATTTACTTGCTTAAATTTTATTTTGTCTTTTTTATTGATTTGATGTTCTTATTCTTATTTCTCTACATATTGCTCTTCTTAATCCCTTTTTCTTTGTTCTACTGCTCATTGTATTTATGGGTCACACTCAGTGTACTCAGAGTTTAAACAAAAGTTGATATATTTAAAAAATGTGGGGGGTATTAGGTGCCAAAGCCACATCTAGGAACATCCAGTCAATTCTGGGATTTGAACTTTCTGTTCAAATGATGGTGCTCTTACTGCTGGGCTACCAGCTGGACCATTATTAACATAATAAGATTTAAAAATATGTATTGGTAAAAACACATCAACGCCATATCAATATATTGCTAAATGGCACAACCACGAATACCCAGTCAGCCCTGAGGTTTGTACCCATGGCCTTCCAGTTGCTGCATACTTCTCTTACCACTGGGCCTCCAACTAATCCATTATTAAGATAAAATGTATATTGGTAAAAAACGCATTAAAGATATAATCCACAGACATAAGATGAAGACTAATTTATTTAAAAGATACAAATGAAAGGCAGAGATTGTGTGTGTGGACCATACCTGCGCACAGGGCACAGTGAGCATTTCATTGAAGGGCCCTACTGGATTGTATGTGTAGTAGTTTATCAGCTCTTCCAGACTGCTGTGCCTGCTGTTCTCTCCAGCAATCATATACTGACCGTTCAGTCCAGATACTTCAACTTGTTGCTCGATGATGAAGTGTCGACACCTGTCTGCACCCCTGTAAATGTACAGTATTCTAGTGTAAATATGTGTGTGTGCGACTACAGAGCGCATGTGTGTTTGTGTGGGTGCCTACCTGTAGGAGAGCACAAAGCCAATCTTTGACTCACTGAGCCTCAACAGGAAACAGCCCTGCTGCTTATCCTGCAGTAGCTGCTCTGCCTCCCTGAGAGAGAAACGGAGAGTAAAAATAACGTTATGTGCAGCAGTCAAAAATAGGACGTCTTCCACTGAATGACATCAAGCTGCTGTGCAAATGTGGTTGTGCACCTGTAAGGGTGGCAGCATTTACGCTTTGGGAGATGTGTGTTTAAGAGAGAGAAAGAGAGAGAGGGAGAGAGAGGGAGAGAGAGAGAGAGAACCTGCGCGTGGCGAAGCCATGGAGCCAGCATGGCAGCGGGCGTCCGGGTGTTTGCAGGCGAGGTAGCTGCGATCTCTGAAACCACAACAGGATGTGAGCCCGAAGAGATGGAGTCTGAGCCTCCAGGGGCCCCACGGGACCCAGCACCTGAGAGGGAGCTATCCGCTTCACCTAAGAGAGAGAGAGAAAGAGAGATACTGACAACAGAACTTCAATATACAGTGGTTTCCTTGGCTTATTCATGTCATGGGGTGGTTGGTCCTGCACGCTGATTACCTCCTCTAATGCACCCACTTAAGCTTGCTTGTTTATTAACTGACTGATTTGACGGGGGCCTACCTGAAGAGTTTAATGCTTCTAAAGTCTTCCTCACACAATGGTGTTACATTAAATGGTGTTATGTTAAATAGCTGCCTAAAGCCTGAGACATTTTTGGTTTTTGTTTTTAGATAAGATTTTGGCCTAAAAAGTATTTTTAAAATCCACTCATGGTAGAATAGTACATGCAGGGTGTTGTAAGCCAAAATAGTCCCCAAAGAAAACATATTTTTCCAGATTTACCACTATTTTGCCATTTTCAAAATTACTTATAAAAACTCAGAAGACACGTATTTCTTCACTGGTGGTTTTGGGTGGTAAATAAAATGGCTATATTTGTGTTGTAGACATCACAACCCCTGGTTCACCACAACTATAAAAAAAAAGCTTCAGTAAGCTTCTCTACAGTGAACCACTTCACATCAAAAAACAAACCACAATTCAATTATACAGAAATTTTGATTTTTTTCAATAATTTATCTAATATAGCTTCTAACCGCATTTTAATTCCATTAGTATCTGAGATTTTTACACCAAGTTGCCTTTGACAAATGAAATATACCAAAGTGCACAAAAACAAGGCCAAAGCCATTGTAAATAATTGCACAATTCATAGCTAGCTATAGCTGATAAGCCAAAATGTGTTCTAATACATGTATTAAAAGGTTTGATTATTGCTGTCTATGCAATCTAATCACAATATAAGATGAGAGATATCTGAAAAAAGGTCTTTATCCTCTGCTTACAAGTTACACACCCACATCACCCTTGATACTGACTGCTGCACTAAAAAAAGTTAAATAAAGTGCAATATTACAGTAGTTTACTGGCAGCAATTTCTTCCTTTATTAACTTTTTATTTAAAGTACTCACAATGTCTGACATATATATGTAACTTTATTTCTAAACTACAGCTGATTACTAAAATTGTAATAACGTTTTCCCCACAAACTGAGCATCACATTACAGGAGATATATACCAGTAATTAGGACTACAAAGATGGTCACTGTCAGGAACCAAATATCTGTTAATTGTTAATTATTATTATGGGACTGAAACACAAAACTCCATCATAGCTGGTGTAACAAAACATATAATTTGTAAGAATTATGTGTTAAAGCAAACAAAAACCTGTGAAATGAACTGTATGTGAAAAAATAAAAGCTAATTAACAAAAACAAATCTGCAAAGAATGCTGGGAAACTCCGGCCACAGTGCAACCATATTCAGAGACCAACTACTCAATCCTGCACAAAGCGCCAGTCACTTTAATTCCACATTTTCACATCTAAGTCTAAATCTTGCAGATCAGTTCAGCAGTTATTTCTCTAGTTGTATGTTGTTCTGTGATTTTCTCAGCTCAGTGGTTTCTAACCATGAGCCTGATAAATAGTAAATACATTTTCGATGAAAAATAACCGTGAGTCATCATGTTGATGTCTTTTCGAGTAGCAAAAGCAAGGTTGCTTATCTCAGGTTTGCATAACAGCAGCCTTTAAAGGTTTTGAACAACGTTCCATTGATAGAACAACCAAACAAATGACATTATAGATGCTAATGACTTGTTATGTCTGTCACTGACCAAACACCATACATCATACACAGTGTCTAAATGTGGACGTTATCAATTTTCAGACAACATTATGTCATACTGTATAAGAAACTATTTCAGACAGTGCAGTGTGGTTTGAAGCAAATATGTGATTTAACCTGGTGGTTATGAGAGTATATTGCTTGCTAGCTACAGTCTTATGCAGATGTTTTGGCACCCCTGGTCAATCAAATGCTTTGTTGATTTTTGAAGTGAAACAGAGTTAACACATCCTCTACAGTCAACAAATTTAAATATGCCATTCTTTCTGTTGGTGCACAGTTACTATTATCATTGAGTTTAACATATTGGATAATAACACAAACATAAAATAACATAAAATGTGGCAAACAATTTTGCACATGCCACATTTTGCATTTTAATTTTGTCCAATATGATAAATAAATTGTGTATTACTGTGAGATTTGCAGACATATGTTCCCTGTTGAGAATGTAGAAAATCAAAAGCATGACATTTAACTGGGGACACCAAGCATGTCTTAGGGGTATGGGAAACGTTGTTTAATTTTTTGATTAACTGTTCTAACATGAACAGATTTTAAGCGTTGTATATTTTCACTTAAAATATTAATCTATGACTGGAAGTTACCTCAATCTCTTTCTGACAAGCCTGGCTGTTTGACTGTCCATCTCTTTGCTGTACAGTAGGACGGCATTTTATGCTTCGTCTGGGTTTGACTGGAGGCTTCCGGCTGGTGGGTTGGGTCTCTGGGGTGATAGACAGACGAGGCATGGGTCTTGGGTATTGAATTGGCTGTGAGCTGAGTCGCTCTTCCCTCTGAAGAAATTCAGCATCTGTACACGGAAACAAAAGAGTTCTGTTCAAATTTGCTTAAAAACATATCGTCACTGTTGGAAAAAAAAAAAACTTTTCCATTTTCCATTTTTTGTCTTTTTTGTTTTCTTTTTTACATCATTTGAAAATGCCATCTGTCATGTACAATGTGGCAAAATTTCTTGATGAACAGACCAACAACATAGTCCAAAATGACCATCTTGTTACTTTTTCGGAGGTTTTGTTCAGACAGTGACGATATACATCATCATATTCAGGAAGAAGGAAGAAACAGTAACACTTCATTTGCAGGCTACCTACAAGAGGACTTCATAACACATGCATAAGCACTGAATAACATATTATAAAGCTTATGCCATTAATCTCAAGATGAAATTCCCAAGATGTTTTATGAGCTAAACAACATTGTATTGACTCAAGGAGCCTTAAACTAAAGCGATGGACATTTCTTTCATTTGTAACACCGTTATGAAGCATCATTTCCTCTGCTTTATAAGCTACATGACTTGATAATGATGCTTTGTTACAAACTGAGCAAATTTAGTTGGACAAGACTTTAGTTTAAGGCCCTGTATATCAATACAAAGTCATTTACCTCGTAAAACATCTCATGTCATCTTGCAACTTCTGACATAAGCTGTTTAGAAATACTCAAGTATTGTTTTATAAGTACACTGTTCAATGTTTATGCATGTGTTATGAAATTCCTGTATAGGTCATCTTCAAATGAAGCGTTACTAAAGAAACGGTCTCAACAGGTGACTTGATGTGAGTTAATATAGGAAGCTTTTGTCATTTTAAAACATTTTCCATTGGCTGTTGGTCCATTTGTCATGAAATTCTCACACAAGCATCTGGTTTAAAAAAAAAAGAGTTACAATATTTTGATAAGACAGTGATGATGATGAATCCCATAATGAGTTACACTTATATGTCTACCATATTTTAAATATGGTACCACAGCAGAACTGAACACTGAAGCTGCTCTTCGGAAAGTTATCAACGTTTACTCTATTTCAAGTCTATTTTTGGATTGACATAAAGAAGTCACACTTTAGAGGCCAGACCAAAATGGCCTGCCAAGCGGAAATGCTAAGTCTTTCTTTAACCACAGCAGCAACAGAGCATTCTAGAAACCTAGATAAGATTGAGTCAATCACATAACATCCATATACAGTAAAATATAGTTAACGTAGTTATTTAACTACATACACTATATGTAACACTGCTGCTGTTAATATATTATACTTAAATAATGCTAATGTTAAGCCAAAACGATACAGATACAGTACTGCACGTGATACAACATAGCATACACGATACAGCAGTTATAGATCGGTAACAATGCTACTGTTATTAATTAAAATGCTGTCCTATAAACTGCTTCAACTGTGTATGGGCAGGAGCCAACATGTACACTGTTTATGAAGTAATATACATCTAGGACTACAACAACACAGAACAGAAAAATGAACACTATTGCTCAGTCTTACTCAGCCCTACAGAAACAGAATGAGTACTGCATGTTATGGTTGTTATGTGGGTATTTTTAAGAACAACAAATAGCTGACCTTTAATCTTCTGATAGTCAAAGTCCATCTTCACAGACAGGATGTAGAGCTACGTCGCTTCATGAGTGCATCCACCTCGCTGTGTGGTCATGTGCATGTGTGTGTGTGTAAGAGAGAAAGAGTGAGAGTGTGAGAGCGAGAGAGATAGAGACAGAGCGAGCATGCAATTGCAGGTTAAGCAAAGTGACAATAAGGATACGCCTTTAGTGAGCTCTCTGATGAATCGATACAATGAGCCAATTCAGCACTGAATCTGTTGTACTATGGATTTGTTGATGTGCAGGTGCAGCTGACACTGTGACGTGGTTATTATTCTGCCTGGGCTGCCAGAATCAAAATGTCAAGTGAGGAAATCAGAGTCGTTCTTACAGTGGAACTGCTGCATGAGTGAAACATCAAGATTTCATCTTAAACATTCACTCATGATCCACCCATCACTACTGACACACTATGAAACCACTTTATTTTTACAAACTACTAAAATATATGCAATCAGTATTTAAAAGAGAGAAAGAGATAGATGGAGAGAGAGTGACAGTTTGAATTCTCGCTAACCACACAGGAAGGAGAAAGAGGGCGGCGGTAGAGAACAATAAGATAATAAAAACATAAGAAATGAAAGAAAGGTGAGAGAGACAGAGAGGAGAGAGAGAGACTGAAATATAGAGAGAGATAGAGACAGACAGAGTAGAGACGGTGACTTTTAAACCCCTTTGCTAAAGCATTATTAGTTAAAAGGTTTTACTTTTTAAGGTAAAGAAAAAAAAAATAATATTAATAATGGCTCTGGTTTCCTCCCAGTTTAAAGACATGCGGTCAGGCCAATTGGATATGCTAAAATTGCCCCTAGGGGTGAATGTGTATGTGAGTGTATATGTCTGTGTGCCTGCCCTGCGATGGCCTGGTGACCTGTCCAGGGTGTTTCCTGCCTTCCGCCCAATGACCGCTAGGATAGACTCCAGAACCCCCCGCGACCTAGAAGGTTAAGTGACTTAGAAAGCGTGTATGTGTGTGTTTTAATAATGATTGGGGTGGGGGGTGGGGGTTCTTAAAGAAAACGAATTAACCAATGAAATGATATCACATTTTCTTAAAACCAAACATTTTATGGATGCTTTGATAAAAAACATCAAAAATAAATTCAACTCTTAGGCTGATTCCAGCACACAAACCTAAAGGACTTTTAAATAGCCTTCCTTTGCTTTTCCCACTAAGAGGTTAGCCAAAGTACATTTAGAACACTGAGCTTTAGATTATCTACAACCAAAAATAAACATGAACAGGGGTGAACAGAAACCCCAGCCCCCTGAGTACTCTGTCCAGGAGCTCAAACAGGAGACCCTGCCTCTAAGAGCCATAAAACACATGAAAACCAGTGTTAGAATTATTACAGAAAATTCAAAGTGGCAGAACAGCTGGGTTAAATTTTAATACCAAACCATTAGTGAGCACAATGAAGAATCCTCTGCTGGAGGTCTCCAGAGCGTTTAGGCAAAGAGCTTTTGTACATGAGCATCCTTGAAGGCCGCAAACCCTCAGGAACAAGTAGTTGGCTCTCTATTTAAGGTCACATCTCCCTTCAAGCTCACAGAAACGAAATGATTTAATACAGCTCTGTGATCTTCTTACTAGCTGTTGAGAACAGCAATTTCTGCAAACCTCCCATGTAGAGAAGTTGCCCCTCTCTACCCCAGGCTCAGAAACAAAAGTGTTAACAAATAACTCTGGGAAGAAAACTTGAGTCAGTCCATCAGCCAGAGCACAAGTCCTAGATCTCTGATCTAAAACCAATCTGTTTGTTAAGCTGAGCACCACTCTCACACCCTTAAATCAGTCAAATGTCTGATGCATGTTACACCTGCCTTCGTGAAGGCTGTAGCTATTTGCTAAACTGGTGGACTTGACGAAGGAGAAAGAAATTAGAGATTAGGCTCATTAGTCCATAACATGCATCACTGTTCTTTGCACTTTGAACAGCCCCATGCATTTAACTCTGAACCATAAAAATACAACCAGCTGTTTGCTTTACCATATTCTGAGGCTAAGAAATAGCTGTTTATCATGGCCCAGTTCACCAAGTTTCCAAAGCAATGCCAAACCAAAGCTAATCCAAGGAGTCTTTTCCCCTGAAAAGCAGTTTTCGAGCAGTCTGTGGTCGCATGGCCTTCACTCTGGTCAAAACCTGTTTTTCAGTTTTGACATAATTTGAAAATACCTGTTGCTTTTTACACTGTGTGTAAATTTCATGAAGAATGGACCAAAAGAAATTACCCATAAAGACTTAAAAAAAAAATCTGGTCCCACTGACTTACATTAAAATTAAAGCAGGTGTTTTCCTTCTCCTGTAAAGTCCTCATTTTGGAGATATGAGGTTTTCTTTTGACAACAGTGATATGTGAAAAATTACAAATATATCATTAGTTCATTATTTGAACAATTATAATGGAAATAATTATGTTATCATTATAATGATAGTATTAATATCACTATTATTTGCTGTATTTTCTCTTGTTATTTTCATTGTTGTGTTATTGCTACTGCTGTAATGCCTTGGTAATATTGTACTTGACACAGTCATGAAAAGCTGCACTGAACTGAGTCACAGAGAGAGAGAGAGAGAGAAAGAGAGAGAGAGAGGCGGGGGGTGTTATGCTTGAAATGAGCTTTAACTTTAACAGTTTAGAATCTACAATTTTTCTTTTTTTTCTAATTTTACTTCAGAGTTCTTCTTACAAGCAGATTAGTTTTCACTGATTACTGGAATACTATTACTGGATCTCTAATACATCTTAAATAAAGTACTTTATGGCCAAACAAGAGAGCTGACGTTAGCACAGAGACCCACTAGATGGCAGAAAAGCACTGAATGTTCAGTACTGGTGACTCTGTGTGGAAACACTGAGCTTCAGGCTTCCATCTGTTAGAGGCTCATTAACATTTCTGAGGTTGTAGAAGTAGGGAAAAACAAATATTTTTAAACAATATTTATCAATATAGCAGTTGTTTTTGTGTCTAGAGTGCTGTAGTGATAATAAACAATACATTATGCCTCTTTACATCCAGTCTTTACAAACAGCACCCATTAAAACAGCTTTGATATCTTCCTCACATCTTGTTGTTGAGATACTAACTATGTTCAATTTTTAGCAGTTTAGCAACTTTTTTTTAAAGTAATTTGGAGGTCTTTCAGGGTTTCGCACAGGTACATTAGTCTCAATAATGTTACGAGAATGGAAGTCTGAATATATAAAATGTTTAAAAAGTAGAAAAAGGTCAGACAGCACTCGAATAATTCACAGAACATTTATTAAGCTCACAGACTGGAGTGCTGTCTGACCTTTTTCTACTACTTACTCTTTATTTTTTTTAATTTGGCACTTACCGTATGGTCAAAAATACAAACTTACATTAGTTTAGTGGCTCAGTTACTTCAGAACCTTTGTTTATATAATATGCAGACTTTTCTAACTGTGTTTCAGTTACACACTAAAAAAACTGCAATGTAGAGTCCTTAAATCATATATTCCAACTCACTGTTTGTATTAGCAGTTGTTAAGTCAGTAAGGTTTATGTTTTATTGTGATTCAACTTTGATCCTTGAGGGCCTGAATCTAGTTAGTGATTTTCCTTCTAAATCTTCTAATTGTCTGATAAAATATAAAAGCAGAGAAATCACCAAGCTGTGCCGGACTCTGCCCTCCAGCACCACAGTTGTAGTCCTATCTCAGATCTTACCATGTGATAACATGAATTAACTCAGTTCACCCACTAGATGGCAGAAAAGCACTAAAAAGCAGTCTGAAGGATGCTTATGTTGTTTGGCAGTGGTGCTACAATACTAACAGTCAAAAATACTTGTCATCCAAAATGTCCAAAGATTCTAGGTGACAATTCTATTACTTTTTAGCGATCTTCATGCAAAACTAAAGAAGCAAACTGGACACCAAACATGTCTTGGCCAACTGACAGTGTTTGTGGTGAGGGATTGATTTTTAGTTGAACTTGTCCTTTAAACAGCAACCAAACATATTCCTAATAAACATGAAGGACCATCAGCTGTGTCTGGAATTTGTGAAAACATGTAGAAAAGACAATTTTCCATTTCAGTCCTTTTTGTATCTAATAAAATACATATATATATAAATATATATATATATATCTAACTAGGTGCTAGTGTAAGGAGATGTAGGCCAGTTCATAGATTGTATACTAGAATTACTTGCATTATTGTACACATTTGCAAGTGCATTTGAGCCTAACGTGTCTCATTAGTCCTGTTATTGTATGGTTATTATATCTTTTAAAGGTCCCATATCATGCATTTTTCTTGTATTTATTTTTCATCCCTGAGATCAATTTATATATAGTTTGTGTGAGTTTATGTACCATAATTCATTTTTACATGATATTCCAACCTCTCTTTATCCATTAGAATTAAACAGGCTGTTTCTGTTACTGTGCCTTTAAGACTGATATATGTAAATGAGCTCTGTTCTAATTGACTGCCCTGTATTGTGCCTCAGTCAAAAAGCAGTCAGAGCTGAAACACTCTTTATAACTTCAGTGTGTGGGCAGGACTAAACTGCTGTAGCCTGAATAGGTGGATACCTGTAAATGTGCCGGATTTTGTGACATCACAAAAACAGTGAATTCAAAACAGGCTGTTTCTGCAGCTTAGTTTCCATATATGGACTGAATTGACTGGAGTGTGAATGGTATGTTTTGGAACTTTATCATTGTTTTGCAAACAGGATCAAATTCTTGTATTTCTAAAAAAAAAAAAAAACAGTCGTGATATGGGCTCTTTAAAGGAATCATGATAACCATACTTGGTGCATGCTTGTTTTGTGAGGTGTGTGTATGTATGTGTTACAGGACATCAATGAGCTCCTCCCGTCATGCTCATGAGGGGGGGGGGTGTCTAAAATCGCCTTTCCTGATTCGAACGAACGCAGGTCGGACCTGAAGTGAGCTTTACATTCACACCAACATTCAGAAACGCGTTTAGCCGTTCAGACAGGCTGCATGAGGGCAGAGGACACTGCCAGCCTCCCTTCACAGGTACGTGTCTGGAGATTATTCCGTTTGGAAGTGTGCTGGGTGAATTTGCTCGTTGGCGTGTCAGCCGGAATGGTAGGTAAACACACACACAGGTGCTGTAACAACACCAGGGAGGGAAAACAAGGAAATACAGGGAGGAACCTGTAATGAAAAACAGGTCGTCCTCACGCTGACCGTCTGAGAGCGTCACAGCTGCCTTAAGAAGAAAACGCCATCCGTTCTTTGGCGTTTGCTCTAAGTCTGAGGTAAATTGCAACGTTTGAACCAGACGTACCGGCACAGAGCGGGTCTGCACGCGCCGTGTAGTCGAAGGCTCGCGAGACACGCGTCTGGCTCGACCTTCGTGGCCGCTGTGTCCGGTTTACCCGCGGTGTCCGCTGCTTATTTCCCCGTCAGTCTGGGGAATCGTGTCTGTGAGTCGTGACCGTCTCAGTGAAGCAGTGAAGCGCAGCGCGAGCGCCCGGTTTCGCGCCACGGAGCTCGAACTGAAGCGCTAAAGCGGAGCTCAATGAGATGAAACAGCCTCAGCAGGCGCTCACTTATCAGCCCTCTTATACACCACCGAAGATAAAGTGTATACACGGCCAAAGTGTAGAGATTTAACAGCAAAAATACATTTTTTTAACGACACGTTAAATTTCTGTTGTTTTGTCGCTGCTCGTTTTTGTCAGTCTCCACTCTGCTCGTGGTTCCTGTTTAGTATTAACAAGTTCATGAAATGGTTTCAAACACTGAATATAGGGCTTCAGGACAGCTCGGTGGTGCGACAAAACCCTGTCACAAGGTGCTCATTCATAAAACAAAGTTTAGTTAATAATTTAGCATGGTTACCATTATAGTGTCAGAGAAAAAGGTTCTGTGCAGGTACGTTTTTCATTTATCAAAGCACAAACAATGTAAATGTACCCTCAAAGGTGCAACAGTGGTTTTAAGGTCCATTTGTGTACCTTAAATCCGTTTTTCCTAAAGGGAAGGGTACATATTGGTACCCTTTCATAACCTAATGTTCAAAACAGACAATAGAATAAAAAAGCCTGGAGTCAAGACAGAGTGTGTATAGTCAATACAACGTTATGGATGAATAGAATATGGATTATGTTCCCTAAATAGATGTACGGTTAAGGGTACAACCCCAGTACTTTTTTTAAAGGTTTGTCCTTTTAATATTCTAAACTTAAATAGTTGTATTTCAACTTAGAAGGCTTTTGCAACTGCTGGTAATAAAATGCTTGAATGCCTACAAATTATAGGACAATTCTGTCCTTATTCAGTTGTTTAGTATTACTTGGCAATGCTAAGATGGTTTTGGCTGACTTGGAGTTATTAGATACTTTCTTGGAGGCTGCCATAATCAAATGCCACATGCCAGTGGCTGACAACTCTCTTTCATCACTCTATGAAATAATTTGTTAGTTTAAATAACTTTGAAAAATGAGTAGTATGTAAAACAGTGGATTGTGTTGGCTGAACATGTTGGAGAATCCAGCTGACTTGACCAAGAGTGATCATTATACAGTAAAGTACAATCTGGACTGGGAAAAATGTTTGATATTTTTAAGATATTTTAAAGTTTGTTTTGCTAACAAACTGTATAAAACACCGTAGAAGGTGATTCATAACAACATATATGTTCACACAGTACACCCAGTTTTAAGATTGGTACACTGCTTCAGGCGTTTCAAAAGCATCTTCCGCTAGTTGATTGGCTCACTGGTAGGGGAGGGTTTCTTAAAGGGGAATTCCACTGATATCATGTGCATAACTCAGTTTTTAAGATGTGAACCAAGTCATCCAGAGTGGTTTGATATGAAATGCATTGTTCTAGAGAAACTTAACATGTGAGAATTGTTCACAGTAGTGAGCAGTTCTGATAGGAACCAGACGCCTGAAGTGTTTAATGCCTCTAAAATCTACTTCACAGACAGTTGTTAGATGAACTGGTTATTAATATGCTGTCAGATGCCCGAGACATTGTTTTACGCTAGTTTTGACCTAAAATGTCTTTTTTCCAAAATGTACTGTAACACATACTGTAACATGCATAGTGGCGAGGTGCATGCAGGGTGTGGTAAAGGAAAATAGCACCCAATGAAAAATTATTTGCTCTTGATTTACCACCATTTTACTATTATGACCATCACTTACTGTATAAACACCCAGAAGACACATGGTTGTTTTGGATAGTAAATAAAATAGCTATACTTGCATTGTGGACATTGTAACCCCTGGTTCACTAAGAAATTGATGAGTCAGGAAGTTTCTCGACTGACTGAATGAATTTAATTACTTTGTTAACATGTCAGCCATTGAATTATACAAAATTGTTAAAAAAAAAATGGTAGAATTTCCCTTTAATCCCACTCCAAAGGGCCACTACCTTGCACAGTTTGTCCCTGCCTCACAACTCATCACATGATTTTCAGTCTCTTCATTAGCTGGATCAGGTGTTTTAAAGCAGGGAAACTATGCATGACAGTGGATCTCCAGGAGCAGGATTGAGAAACATTGCTCTAGGGGCCTCATTCATGGTCTCAATCCAAGTTGAAGGTTGTCTTAGAGCGTGTGGTGTAGACATTGATGTCTGCACTTTAAGAAAAAATCTTTATTAAACCACTCTGTAGCATTTGTGATGCATAGGGCTTTATGTTGGTTAAATGCATCAAACATGTGAAAAGAAAGTGATAACACTGCCAGAATCGCAGATCCACAATGCTGCCTCAGCCTCTATTTATCTGGTGTTACATGCAATGGAGCAGTTTCTGAACAAGCATGGGCATTAATTCAGGCTGGAATTTAGATCATTAACAGCTTATTTTATGATGTGAGAAATATTTTGAAGAGAGTAACAAGTAGAGATGACTGAATTCTCAAGTGTATTGCTATGCATTCATTTGCTTGCTCGAAGTGGAGGTTCATCAAAAAAATCTACAAATTTGCTGCAGTTTTATGGAAGTTGTTTGCAGAAGGCCAGTATCTGCAGATCTAAGATCACATGCTGGAACATAAATCAACAGACATTCTGTGTGATACGCAGGTGCTTTAAGGTCATTTAGAGCCCTAAAACTAGGAGCAGAATTTTAAAATCTATCCTGAAGGATACAGGCAGCCAGTGCAGTTTTTGTTAGGATTAGTGCTGCTGCATTTTGTACAAGTTTTAGGGGATGTATTGCTTTCTTAGGAAGCCCACTAAGAAGAGCATTACAGTAATCAATTCTGCTTCTAACAAATGCATTAACAAGTTTCTTTGCATCGCTCTGAGATAGAAAATGCCAAACTTATATTTCTTCAATGCTAAAAAGCTACTTTAGTGATTGTGCTTACCTGCAGATTAAAACAGAGCTCAGAATCTAACATTACATCCAGGCTTCATACTTCAGGTTTGGTATATGAAGCTAAAGTATTATAAGTATTTCAGTTTTTCATTATTAAGTTGTAAGAAATTTTCTGACTTCCACTGAGAAATATCTGACACAGAGCTGGTAAGCTTGTCTACAGAGTCGGAAGGAATCAAAATTTATGACTGCATGTCATCAGCATAGCTATGAAAATTTATATTATGTTTCCTAATGACATCACACAGGGGTAACATGTACAAAGAGAAGAGCAAGGGCCCTAAAACTAAACCCTGTGGGACAAAAAATTTTAAATGTCTTTAGTGAATGATTTCCCAGTGAAACCAAAAATTGTCTATGCAGTGAATCTAATTTAAATAGCATATAACCCTCAGACCTGCTGATTGTGAATCTATATTGTATTTTGGCCCTACAGGACAAGACATAGGCTGTGTTCTGTATATTGTATACTGCATACTGTACCATAGCCTATACACTGTATACTGTACCAGTATGTGCTGTATATTGTACCAGTATATACTGTAAACTGTACCAGTAAATACAGTATACTGCATTTCTTACCAGTATATACTGTATATTGCATTCTGTGTCAGTATATACTGTGCACTGCATACCGTACCAGTATATACTATATACTGCATCAGTATATGCTGTTTACCACATACTGTATCGGTATATACTGTCTACTGCATAATGTCTTGGTACATACCATATACTGCACCAGCATATACTGTAAACTGCGTACTACAATGGTATATACTGTATACTGCAACAGTGTTTACTGTACACTGCATACTGCATACTGCACCAGTATATACTATATACTACTACCTGCCTTAGTATATACTGTGTACTGCATTCTGAATTGCTATATACTGTATACTGTACTAGAGTATACTGTATACTGCATGTTGCACTAGTATGTACTGCATACTGCCTCAGTATATACTGTGCATTGCATACTTTATCAGTATATACTGTATACTAGGGCTTGATCATGATCAATTAAATCACATTGTACTACAAAATGTTTTCCTGAGCATATCGTGGATATACTTAAAAACACTTCCTAGTACATTTGATCACAAAGAGCGCGTAATCAGTTTTGGTGTATACTGTATACTGCATCAGTATAAACTGAATAATGTATACTGTACTAGTATATACTGTATACAGCATACTGCACCAATATATACTGTATACTGTATGCTAGTCTTCATAGTAGTATGGACTGTAGTATCCAGTATGCAACAAAAGCCATGTACTGTACTACAGGGTAGGGACATGACTGAAATAACCGCATTGCATTTTGGGATGCAGCACACCATGAACATAGCTCTGCCCACATATGGGAATATTTGGCTAGAATAGTACGTCATTCATTTATCTTTGGTGTACTGGAAAAATTCTTGTTGGTCTCACGCTGCTTACTACTTGCTACTTTTGGACAGTCCATGAACCGTATGCAATAGTCTAGTTCTAAGACAGCCATAGCCTAAGGAACAGTGCTTTGGAGCAGGGATGGGAATTTCCTGCAAAATTTGGTCATTTTACTGCTCAAACATACCTGCTTCAGCTCAGCAGTTAATTACCAGGTTTAGTTGTTGTGTCAGAGTGGAGATTCACGGACCCCTGAGGATTGGTTCC